GGTGATTTTTTAGTTTTTTATGTCTATCTCAAACATTTTAGCTTTTGCGAAAAAGTTTATTTGACCTTTTTTGTAGGTATACAATTTTTCTATAAAAAGTGTATATACAAAAATTTTCGAAAAGTTCTTATTTAGCCCTAAAAAAATAAAAACGTATATGTTCTATTCTTACCGTTAAAACTGTTAATTTATAAATCGTTCATTGTAAAAACATAAAAAAATTCATTTAACCGTTGTTTCAAATTTAATTTTCTATACATTTTTAATTCGACATTTTTTCTATTATTTACTATTCAAAACCTACAATTTTTTAAATTTTAATTAAAAAAAATACATCNTTTACTATTCAAAACCTACAATTTTTTAAATTTAAATTAAAAAACCCATCAGAGTAAAATTAATACTGTCTTAATTTCACATTGAAGCTAAAATAATGTTCACTTACAAATTTATATACAACTAGAAACTATATAAACTTGTAATAAAAATACATAATGAACGAATATTATTTAAATAATTAATTCTTTGATTGACAATTCAAATTGGCCCCGAAACAAAAAAAATGTTCAAACAATAAATGGCCTTGGCCATCCAACGAGCATGATGGATTGGGCCAGGAATTTTAAAATAAATTTTATGTAAACGTGTTTCACCAAAAAATATTATGACCAATTCTAAAAGTTCCTTATAGTCATATCGAGGTTGGCATTTTTTAATTGTTCAAAACTAAATTTCAAAATATCATCTTTTTTTGTTTTTAATTTTTCTAAAATAACAGTATCTTCTATTGCACTTAAGTAATTTGTTTTATTTATATTTTGCCAAGACTTTTGGAATTTATTGAAAATAGGAACATCTGGCTCAGATGACGTATTAAATTTTACTTCAAAAGCACTTTTCAATATAATTTCATAAATGTGATGTATGCATGGTAAGTATAAAATATCACGTCCAAACATTTGCATGTAATTTATTTTAAAATTCCTGGCCCAATCCATCATGCTCGTTGGATGGCCAAGGCCATTTATTGTTTGAAAATTTTTTTGTTTCGGGGACAATTTGAATTGTCAATCAAAGAGTTAAATATTCGTTTATTATGTATTTTTATTACAAATTTATATGTTAAACACTGGTTTAGTGCATCGACGCTGCATTAGCGCCAAATTTAGATTTACAATTAATTAAAAATATAATTGATTATGAAACAATAGATAAAGATATTTCTAAAGTAGTTTTAAAAAAAAATTTCGGGTCACTTATGGTACTTAGTATCCGAATCGGCAGCATTAGCATTTTTTGATGATGATTTATGTGAAGATACTAAAATTAAAATGGTAAACTCATTAAATAATCGGGAAGACGATCTATGTTCAAACAAACGTATAGTAGTAGGAGTAAATGAAATTTATGATTTTAAAAATAAAAGTATAGATGATTTTATTTCAACTGAGTCAAAAAAGTTGTTTGAAAGACATGATATTGAAACAGATTTTTTAAATATCAATCCTTTGTTGTGGAAAGACAACAGTCAATATATCGGAGGAAAAATAATAGTAAATATTTTAAAAGTTATAAATGATTTGGCAGAGAGGAACGTGAAACTCATAGAGGAGTATAATAATATTTTAACAAAAGATGAAGCACAAAAACAATACCTATTACAGATTGTAACAGAATACCGGAGTTGTGTTCCTAATTACAATAAAAGTACATTGTCCCAAGAATTTTAAAAAAGATAAATTATTTAAAATATGTAGTAAATTTTATTAGTTCGTTTTTTTTTGTAAATAGTTTCTGGTTGTATATAAATTTGTGAAACTAAGACGGTATTAATTTTACTCTGATGTATTTTTTTTAATTAAAATTTAAAAAATTGTAGGTTTTGAATAGTAAATAATAGAAAAAATGTCGAATTAAAAATGTATAGAAAATTAAATTTGAAACAACGGTTAAATGAATTTTTTTTATGTTTTTACAATGAACGATTTATAAATTAACAGTTTTAACGGTAAGAATAGAACATATACGTTTTTATTTTTTTAGGGCTAAATAAGAACTTTTCGAAAATTTTTGTATATATACTTTTTATAGAAAAATTGTATACCTACAAAAAAGGTCAAATAAACTTTTTCGCAAAAGCTAAAATGTTTGAGATAGACATAAAAAACTAAAAAATCACCCTTGGGGGGGGGGGTATTTTTTAACCCTCTTGGGGCACGTCTTGAAGTTGACCAATCGTCTCCAAATTTTGTACAATTTATTTTTTCATGTATTCGAATAATTCTAGGGGGTGGCACTTACAAATATTAAAAAAAAAACCTCTCATGTAGCTAAAGGTCACCCTAATATATATATATATTCATCTTTTTTAAAATAAAACATAACAAATCGATTATTTGAACAATTTGCATTGTATTTTCGTATTTAAAGTTCGTAAAAAACAAATTTAAAAGAGATCAAACGTAGAAACGTTTCAGTGAGAACCATATTTTCATCACGTTAGTGTATATAAAGTAAAAGTTATTATTAAATACGATGTGAAGAGGTAGTTTATATATAATATCGTCTAGGGTAAGGCACCTATCTAGCTGTATGATATTTAAAACGCAACGTATTGGTTCTTCAACAATATTTTGATTACTTCCAAATGAGCTATGAACTATTTCCGTCCAAGTTGAACATTCATCCAATAACATACAATCACATCTGTATCATATACCAACACTATTTTTCGATAGTTTTTCGTGAGAATTTGAAATTTTACTATTAGGTAAAGGAGGCAACTCAACAATGGCGTAAGAGGATAAAAGACCTTCCGTAATAACTGAGCTTTTACACTACAGTGACATATTAGAGTATTGTTACGTCAGGAGGTATTCATAAGTAATATTTTTATCACCCTCTTCAGAAGGAAAACAATTTTATTGTCACCATGTAATTATGTTTATTTGAAGACTTTCGTCCTTTTAATTATGCTTTTGTTAAAATATTTTTCACTCATTTTTATAAAAATTAGAAATAAATCTTAATAAGCAATCAGTAAAAATTTGTAATTTTTTTATTAAAATCATTTTCATTATTATGATGATTATAGTTGTCATCGAAGTAGTTTAAAATGTAAAATCTTCGGTTTAAAATTGATATGGTATCGATATTACAATAATCAGTTTTTTTTTTTGTATGACTGTCCATAGTATTTCTACGTTGTTACTGAACCGATTTTGATGATCACTGCTATTAACAACCCGAATTAAATCTATATGAACATATCGGCTTTAAAAATTGAAAAAAAAATCCTTCATGTTAATATTTATGATAGTAATGTCAAATATAGTCAATCAAACATTGATATCAATCTAATGTAATATGCATGGATCTATATGCATTTTTTTATTGATATTATTTCACGATTAATACACCCAACACAATAGGTCCACGGCACAGTGGGAATAAGTATAAATGATATCTGACAGTGGTTAACGTAACTGTCATAATAAGCCTCCAATGCAAATCAATAAATAGTGAATAATTTAACAATTTCATTAGAATCAGTGTATTTTTGAAAGACTTTTAACAAAATGAAAAAAGTGATGAATTTTTACAGAAATATCACTATTGTTGACTTTAAAGTCAAATGTCAGACCTTCTAGAATATTTTCAAATATCGAGTTGAAAAAAAAATTGTCTCTGCGTGGTAGTGGTCTATTTATAAGTCTTACTTTTCTAAAGTATTTATGTTTTACATCGGATTTTCAAAAAAAGCGTACTCTCTTATTATTACTATACTCTGTTACAATTTTATTTAAATAAGAGTTTAAAAAAAAACTACACTAGTTTTAAAATGCAGAAAAATAATTTTGAAAATACCTTTTTACGGTATTGTAATTTAAAGATATTTTTTTTAATTTTTAAAAATAAGGGGGTTTTACTAATTTTCAACACTGATAACTTTAATTAGATTATAATCCTATTCTTATGGCTTATTGCTCATTAAAATCAGGCCGGTGAGAGCTGAGAATTTTCATGTACAGACTTAAAAATAACGCACTTTATGGTAAAATTTATAACTACTCAGCTTCGCATCCAAACTAAAATATATTGAGAATAGCACATCAATCAATTGAGGCACACTATATAGAGTGCTTTTTTTATCATAACCCACTCAATTACTTACAGAATAAATATAATTTAAACATTCTTTTTGGTTTTCTTTAGTTTTACATTGTTCTTGATTTATTAATTTTTTAATACTTATTAAGTTCATCGCTTATACCTTGTAATTGTGTCAAATTTATTTTTTTTAATGGTACACACACATTTTGAATTTAATAAATTGTTTGTGTTTTTAATTTAATAGTAAATGACATTTGAATTTTTAATAAAACTTTATTAGTTTATTAGATATAAACATTTAAAGTTTCAAATTTTTGAGGTAATATACATGTATAATATACAAAGGATTACAAATACTGGTAGCTAATTAGTGTTGTATGACGTCGCTGTCATAGTCGCGGAATGTTTATTGTCATTAATGACTATCAATATATATACTTTCTGTATTTCCAGTATTTATAAACTCACAACAATGTGCTATTTACCATTGATAATAAATGCTCTGTACTTGCGAATATTGATGTAATAAAAAACCTGTATTTGTAATCCTTATGGCAAGTTTAGAGTCAAATTATATTAATTTGATAATTTTTAAAAAAGTTATGGTAGTTTTAAGAAAAAAAAATGAAAAAATAACAAAATTTACGGATTTTAAAAATTGTAATTTTTTTGGAGATTTCTCCCATGTACGGAGAACGACGAAATTTTTTCTATTTTTAAGAGTTTTGACTTCAACTAGATTTGATTTGTGTTCTTTTGGCGTATTGTTAAAAGAAACCGGTCATGTGAGAGCTGAGAAAAAGTGGCAACAAAAAAAAAAAACACATCATAGTAAAATTAATTCCTTCTCAGCTTTGTATCGAAGCTAAAATAATTAACACAAGAAATACTCAAGTAGAAGTTTATTTATAGATCTTTATATATAAATAATGTAATACATTTCATTTTAAGAGATTTATGATATCTGAAAAAAAAATAATTTTTGTTAATTACTATCACAAATATTTCATTTAGCATTGTATAAAAACATTTAAGATACAAAACGTTTTTATGAAAGTGAAATAATGTTAATTTTCAACGCGATAATCATTAACTGGAACCATAATTGTTTATAAATTCTACTTCAGGTTCTTCTTATATTTAATATATAATTTCCGGTGCTAATTGATCAGAAGTAATTTAAGTAGTAATATAAATATTTATGCTGATATTTATAAGAACTGAGATCCCTAACTAGAGATTTATGATTGATAGAACCTCAATTACTAAAATAAAATTTATTTTGTAATATATTAATTATATTATCGTCTTTTATATGATATATATTAAGATGTATTTTGGAAGAAAGAAAGTTCTTATACATATCACACCTAGAAATAATTTTGAGTACGTTTCTACTATTTATTATGATTAAAAATATTCTTCAGGGAGAATTGAAAATGAAATGTAGCCCTCATAACAATGATATAACCACCCTATACTTTTGGAGAGTAGAAAAGTATAACAAAAATAATTAAGAAAGTAATTTTGTTTTTTTTGGAAATTGATAGTTTTGAGGTATTGGAGTTTCAAGATTTAGTATTTGTGTGGAGCGCGGTAGTGTTTAGCGTTGCTGTTATTTGACCATAACGAACAAATAAAAATTCTTCTACGTTGGGCATTCCTTTTAAATAAAAACTATAATAACTCAAAAAATAATAATACTAAACAGGTTAGAGACTAGTCAACATTTAATACAGACTATACTCCAATTAATAGTAAAATAATTGTAATAGGTTCCTGTTTAACTTTTGAAAGTTACTCCTAAAATCTACTCTTAGAAATAATTTTTTATAAAATAGACTTTACATTAATATTGGTTCATAAAAATAAAAAATATTTTAATATATGCATTCTTATTAAAAAAAAAACATTTAATAAAAAAATGGGGGTGCTATGATTAATAAATCACACAGTTTAAGCAATGTGATTTTTTTTTTTTTTGAGGAACGAATATTTGCAAAACGATGAAATCAAAATAGTTGTATAAATCATTTCATATAATATAGGCTCTCATTAATTAAAACGAAAGTTCATACTTTTACATAACTCTTCTAGAAGTAATGTATTTAATGTATATTGAAAATTCATTGATTTTTATAATGATATATTTAAGTACTCTATATATTGTTTTGAGTAAATCAAATGTAAAATGAGATTTAGACATGTTTCTTGGAATATATATATATATTTAAACGTCTAACTTTTATTTTAGTTGTAAAGTTGTTAGTCTAAAACATTAATATTATTCACAATTAAAAAAATTACCTTCCACTTTAAGTAATTGATCCCTCGTCGTTTCCACTTTATATAGAGTTTCGGTTCGTATTTCTTTATCTAATTNCGTCGTTTCCACTTTATATAGAGTTTGGGTTCGTATTTCTTTATCTAATTCATGTTTTTCAAATATTTCACGTGCATCCCCTAAAGGAATATATCCGTTATTTGCGTGACTTCGCAAATCATCAGCTAATTTATTAATTAATATTTTAACAAATCCAGGAATTAATTCCATTACATCGTCTATTTTCATTGGAATATGTCCTAATCGTATATAAATTAAACATTTTGTTATTAATTAAATGATTTTCTTAATTGTTCATTTTCTACAGTTGGTAAGGTA